CATCACATTAATTCATTCATATGCAATTTGTGATCCACTATAACCTGCAGATCCTTTTCAACGGTACTACCACCTAGCCAGTTATTCCCCATTTTGCAGTTGTGCATTTGATTTTTTTCCCCCAAGTGTAGTATTTTGCACTTGTCTTTACTGAATTTCATCTTGTTGATTTCAGATCAATTCTCTGATTTGTCAAGATTATGAATTCTAATCCTGCCCTCCAAAATCCTTGCAACCCTTCCCAACTTGGTGTCATCTTCAAATTTTATAAGGATGCTCTCCACTCCATTATCGAAGTCATTCATGAAAATATTAAATAGTATCTGACCCAGGACTGGCCTCTGCGGGAACCCACTAGATACACTCTCCCAGTTTGTCAGTGAATCATTGATAATTACTTTGAGTATGGTCTTTCAATCAGTTGTGCATCTGCATTAGAACAATTTCATCTAGTCCATTTTTCCCTAGTTTGCTTATGAGACTGTCATGTGAGAATGTATCAAAAGACTTACTAAAATCAAGATATAGCACATCTACTGCTTCCCCACCATCCATTAGGCCAGTAATCCTGTCAAAGAAAGAAATTAGGTTGGTTTTGCATGACGTTTTTTGACAAATACAAGCTGGCTATTCCTTACAACCCTGGTATACTCTAGGTGCTTACAAACTGATTGTTTAATAATTTATTTCAGTATGTTTCCAGTATGTTTCCAGGCTGATTGGTTTATAATTCCCTGTGTCCTCTTTGTTCCCCTTGTTAAAGATAGGTACTATGTTTGCCCATACTTATGTTTGCCCTTTTCCAAGCCTCTGGGACCTCACCTGTCCTCACTAAGTGAGTTCTCAAAGATCCAGATAGTTTTCTAAGTACTGTAGGATTAATTTCATCATGCCCTGCCAACTTGAATATATTTAAGTTATTTAAATACTCTTTAACTTGTTCTTTCCCTATTTTGGGTTGGTTTCCTTCCCCGTTATTGTTAATATTAATTGTATTGAATGTCTGGTCACTATTAACCATTTTAGTGAAGACTGAAACAAACTAGGTATTAAACACTTCAGCCTTCTAAATGTCATCAGTTATTAGCTCTCCTTCCCTGCTATGTACTATGTACATATACTTTCCTTTGTATTTCTCTTGCTCCTAATATATTTAGAGAAGCTCTTCTTATTACCTTTTATGTCCCTTGTGCCTCACTTTGTGCCTTAGCCTTTCTGATTTTGTCCCTACATGCTTGGGCTAGTCCTTTGTGCTTGTGTAACCCACACACCTTCTGGGTGTGGTCTTGTGTCCCATTTAGTGGCATCGAGACGACTTAGAGAGAGAGATAAAGTGAGTCTGCTCTACAGCCTTACCTAACAGCCTGTTGGCTTTTAGCTAATGCGGTAGAGGCTCATGCACTAAGCTCCAAAGGTCGCAAGTTCGATCCTGCCCACTGACAACTGGGGTCGGCCGGTGTTACACTCATCCTCAGCAACTTGTTTTCACTTTTTGTAGGATTCCTTTTTGACTCTCAGGTCCTCAGAGAGCTCTTGATGGAGCTGTATTGGCCTCTTCCTATTTTTCCTATCTTTCCTTTGCAACCAGGATAGTTTGCAGTTGTGCCTTTGATATTGCCTCCTTGAGAAACTTCAAGCTCCTCTGAACTCATTTTTCCCTTTGATTTTCTTCCCATCGACCTTATCTATCAGTTCTCTGAGACTGCTGAAGTCTGCATTTCTTGAAGTCCATTGTCCTTATTCTTCTACTCTCACTCTTTCCTTTTCTTAGACTCATGCAATCTATCATTTCATGGTCACTTTCACTCAAATTGCCTTCCACTTTCAGATTTGCTATCAATTCCTCCCTATTAGTCAGAGTCAGGTTTAAAATGGCTGTCCCCTTGGCTATGCCCTCCACTTTCTGAAACAAGAAGTTATTCCCAATACATTCCAAGAACTTATTGGAAATTTGTGTTTTGCTGTATTACTTTTCCAACAAATGTCTGTGTAGCTAAAGTCCCCCATTACTACCAGGTCTTGTGTTTTGGATATTTCTCTTTTATGTTCTAGAAATGCATCCTCCACCTCCTTTTATTGATTTGGTGGTCTATACTAGATCCTTACCATGACATTACCCCTTATATATTATCCGGAGGCTTTCAACTGGTCTGCTTTTTAGCTTGTTTGGGACCTCAAAACAAGTATATATAATCTCGACCTAGCATGAAACCTCCTCCCTTTTTGCCCTGCCTATTCTTCCTGAACAAGCTGTACCCCCTATACCAATATTCCAGACATAATATTTATTCTACCAAGTCTCTGTGACACCAATTAAGTCATAATTTATCTTATGTACTAATACTTTCAGTTCTTCCCATTTATTCCCCATACTCCTTGCATCCGAGTATAGACATGTTGAGCAAATGCCTCCACAGATTTTCCTCTTGTTCCTATGAGTCTATTATAATTTTTCATGCTGTGCCCCTCCCCCTCCTCCAACATTTAGCCTTCTATTAAGGTAACTTTTTTTTTACTTACCTGTGGGCTTGTGTCACCTGCTCCTTTTGAACCTCGTTCAAATCCCTTTTCACTAGGTTGGTGAATCAGTGAACAAAGATGATAGTCTCCTTTTTTGTCAGGTGGCTCCCATCTTTTCCTAAAGGTACATCTTTTCTAGTTTCATTATTATGGTACTGACCAAACTTTCCATAACATTTACCACCTTCAGGCAGAAACAAAAAATGGAAAATTTCAGTCTCAAATGGGAATTTGGGGAAAGTTGTTAATGTGAAGAAAAGGGGTGATGATGGAAATGTATTGCAACACTAATTATAGAAATAGCTACTGATGATTGATATGAGATGAAAGAAGAACATATTCTCTTAGCTATCCCTTCAGCTAATATGGCCTGAATTATCTTGTATTATTTTCAGGACCATATCCCACTGTATGTCAGTGCCACAGCTGGTACAACAGTGTATGGAGCCTTTGATCCTCTTGACAACATTGCTGACATCTGCGAGAAGTATGGACTCTGGATGCATGTGGATGTAATGCTTTTCAGAAATATTGCTCACAATTATTCTTTTATAGGATTAAAGTCTGGAATTTGTTTCTTTACCTCAGAAAAGAGCATCTGCTTTGAAGGGTTCCAATGCAACTAATGTGTATGAATGGATTGTGATGAATAGACATGCTTGAACAAGATACCATCTTGCAGTGAAGGGTGTGCTTGTTTAGAAAGGAAATTAAGTAAATAGCATTTGTTAGCATTCATTCAAGTCTTGGAATAATACAACAAATACTGCTTCAAAATGCATTTTCTTTGTGTCAGACCAGAGCAACTCAAAATACCATAATACACCTCTCTGGCACACAATGAACTATCATGTTGATTAATATTATTCTTTTTATGACGAATCCTTTCTTCTGCATATAATACCACCTGAGTAGTACAGAGACACTGGGATAAGTACAGTTCCTGGCAAGAGAAGCTGAATTTAAATCACTAGGCCAAATTCTTCTTTCTGATACAGTTGAATGAATTGTAGCTAGTCATATTATTTTTTTACTCTGAAGTAGAATGTGTGAATTTTAGCCAAAATTCTCAGTAGTGGTTGCCTAACTTTAGGTTGGCATCTAAGTGCTTATTTAGATCCCTATATTTGGTGGCCTGATTTTCTGTTTTTTAAATTGATCAGAGCTGTGAGGTCTTAGCACTTCCTAAAATCAAACCAGTTCTATTTAGATGCCTAAATATTGATTTAGGCCTGACTTTAGGCAATCTTTATTGGAAATTTTGGATTAAAAATAAGTTGAATTTTGAAGTGTTTCTTTTTCAGTAGGTACAATACTGTGCCACTATAACCAAGTTAAATGTAAATGAAGTCGTTTCAGTATATTTAACCTTACCCATGCAGTCTAATCTTTAGTAAACATAAAGAGGATTTTCATATAAATTCTTCTTGGAGTTAGTATGCACTGTGGATCAAGATAATTAATGGCTTTGATTTGCTATTGTAAAGAAAGAAGCTGGTCAAGGCATTTAAAAGATCATGCAATGAATTAAGTGTGATGGATCACAGACCTGGAACCTGGGCCCACAAGTAGTGCTCAGGTCCCAGCTGCCACCCAGCAGTTCGAATTGACTTCAGTGTGACAGAATTCACCCTTTCGTCCTTATTAAATGCTGTGATTATCTTAAATCCTTATTAATCTTTGTCCTTATTAAATGCTGTGATTATTAAAGCCAATGGACTATTTGTTTAATAAGGCACAATGAATATGGCTTATTTTTATCCATACTTATTATTTGCAGAATGCTATATAAAACTACAGCTGTGGCACAGCACTTTTACAATACTCTGTTATATGCCAACAAATGAGCTGAAAATCGTCTTGAATATATGCACTTTGTTCCCTTATTGTCTGTGTGGTGTAGCTGGGCGTTGATCTGTTTGTTTTTTCCTATATAGACTGGATTTCTTGTAATATTTAATGCCTGAGTTGTTTATTTAACAGCTTGTATCTTTTAGAAGAAAATATTTTTGTAACTATCTTATGAAGGATGGAACTTTTCTTCTCTTGTTCTTATTTTATAATGTTAACATCTCATTTTTTACAGGCAGCATGGGGAGGTGGGCTGCTGATGTCTAGGAAACATTCCTTTAAACTTAATGGTATTGAAAGGTGAGCATAATGCATTGTGTGTTTTTATTCAGAGTAAGTCATCTTCCTCCCCTCTCTGTTGTTCTCACCATGTTACCCCCAAATACCTTGAATCCTTCCATTACCACACAACAAACAGCCTCATCTACAAATCCCTAAATAATCTTGCCCTACCACCTCCATTTCTGATCTCACCGCCTCCTTTACTTTATACACTCCCCATTTCTTTTTGCCTTCCTCCTCCTAAATCTCCTTTTCTCACTCTGAGCTTCATTCCTTTATCACAGTGCTCCCTTCACAAGGACCAGCCTTCCTTTCCTCCCACTCCCCACAATCTACCTTCTCTTCCTTCCTCTAAATCTTTCCTTACAACCTCTCCTCTCCTTTTTATTAATAATTCCCTTGCTTTTTCTACCCTGAACCTTTTTCCTATCCTTATCCTGTAAGAACGTAAGCTCTTTTCAGCAGCAAAGGTAGACACACATAATATGTCTAGAAAGTGATATGTATGTGTTTGCAGGGGCCTTTGGGGAGACTGATACATATTACATTTAACACATGGCATGTTCCTTATATTATAGTTTGGTTTATCACCTAGGGCCAATTCTGTCACCTGGAATCCACACAAATTGATGGGCGTTCCACTTCAGTGTTCTGCCTTCCTGGTCTGTGAAAAGGTAACGTGAATGATGTCTTTCATATATCATACTGTCTTTAGGTAATGGCTTAAAGTGCTAGCATGAAGGCCAACTAATGTGATCATGAAAGTTGACAAAGGCAAAGAGCAGAAACCTCAGAGCACAGTAATCCTCAACAGTTGCTGTACCCCTCTTACCTTTGAATTTTCTGATGGTCCGAAAACCCTGACTTGTCCTGTGTTGTAGGATTTGTGTTTCCCAGCTACCAGTCAGGTAGTTCTAAGTCCCATCCTAAGACTGCAGAACCATGGAACCACCAGAAGAAGACCTTTCCTATCCTGTTGGTGCTTAGTGAGGAAACAGACTCCCATAAAACCTCTTCAAGATCACGTGGCAGTATGACTTCCGGGCATATACACTCTAAAGAGGCGAGATATGGGAAGAAAGTGGCCACACCACCACTCCTAAAGATGTCAGGAGATGACTAATGGTCATCCAGGCCCAAAGACAGCAGGGGATAGTAAGGACTTTTTTTTTTTAATAATGCTCATTATCTTAAGTATTGATTTGGCTGTTAGTCATGTAAACACCTTCACAAGTAAGAGAGGGGTCTGGGCCAGCTTTGGAGAAGGATTTCCTGGGGTTGAGAAAAGAGTATATAGCCCTTTGGGAAGGGTAAGTCCGGCTGATATCCAGATCTGGATTTCTAAATATATAGTCATAGATTTTAAAGGCAGAAGGGGACATTCTTACAGTTTCATTGGAACTCCTGCATAACACAGATCATAGCATTTCACTCAGTCATTTCTTTGGTAAGCCCCGGAATTCTTGTTGAGCTAGAGCATAGCTTTTTAGAAAGAAAGTATTGAATTTAAAGACTTCAAGCAATGGAGAACCTACCACATCACATCCCTTGGTAAGCTGTTCCTCTGAATATCCTCTATCTGGATATTTGAATCAGAATAGCAGACAATTCACTCATTCCTGTTTGCCATAAAAATATCTTCTCTGGAGGCAACCCATCTTTTGATATCAAAGGTTATCTGTCACACTAATGACTGACAAGAGGAATGTATCTTTGCAAATAAATAGAATATTTGATTACCATTTGTGTTAAATGTATACCCTAATACAGCATACAATATTATGCAATGTGTCTGAGTTGATGTTATTGTGGGAACCTTAACCATTGAGTTTTCTTGGTCTTGAATTTTACCTTTTTGTAATCTTAACATTGTGTTAATAAGGTTTTTTCCATGGTATGTACATACACAGACACACATTGGAAGCTATTACAAAAAAGTCAGCATTTATCAACTGGCAGTTAAATTTACTATATACCTTATTTCCCATTCTGTGGCAACTTAGGAAACCCCATGATTCAATCAGTTAAATCAAATACCATGGAAAAGTAAATGTTTAACATAGACCACTGTACAATTTACACACAGTTTCCTAAGCATTTATTTGGTTGGTATTTGGTAAGATACCTTTAGTCTAAGACTTAAGGTTGTTATTCTATTTTTCTTCATTATGTTGTTTCTTTGTACTACAGACTCTCCTCAGTCTGTAGTAGATTCTCTTTTCATAGCAGAAATAGCTTTCAGCAGCACCATGAGTTGTCTGTGTACAAATTCAGCTTGAGAACAAAAAGTGTATTGCTTCATCAGAGACACACAAATCAAATTCTGTAGTGCTTTGTGCAGAGATCTTTAACACAAAGTCCGAAGAAACTGTCAAGTGCTTTTAAAAAAAAGTAAAAGGCTTTTTTTTGAAGAAAAATAGGTGGAAAATGGGCTTGATGTCTTATGGAGAAATCATTATTATATGGGTGTCTATTACCAAGACGTAAACTACCTCTCCGCTTCAGATGAATGTAATGCTGTCAATATTCTTGCTTACTCCATAAGCTATGAACAATGGTTATAACCATTGGTAGCTCACACAGTATCCATAAAACACACAAATATTATGACTTTAGCATAATAAAGGAGGCAATTAGATGAAATTTTACATACTCAAGACTTCATTTTGCATTTTTTTGTATATGTGCATGATATGGGGCTCAGTGTCATATGCCTGATAAAGGGCCTATTTAATAAATTCTACAGATCAAGACGAACTAACCAAAAACCAGCCAAAATTGGCTGGGCTATCCCCTAATAATCTAACTCCATTGCCATAGCAAGAACAAGATTCTGTTACCACGACAACCAAATACACAACAAAGACTAAGCATTTGTCGATACAAACAGTTAGTGCACGGCAAGCGGGGGTGTCGATCTACCTTGCGCTATCCTGCTGTACACTAGCTGTCTGTGTGGATCTTGCCACATTACACTAAAAGTTCCCTAGGGCACTTTGACCCCTACCCCACTTTGACACAAGAGTGGATTAAAGTGCCCTACGAACTTTTAGTGCTCAGCAGCAGGGTCCACATGGACGATTAGTGCATGGCAGGCTAGAGAGAGAGAGAGATTTACACTCCCGATTGCTGTGCACTTACTGTTCATATAGACAAGCCTTAAATGTAGCATTATTCTCAATGGGAATGTGTTTGCATTTCAGTGTAATCATCCTAGTATTTGCTCATTTCTAGCCCATTCATTCTGAAACAAATCTTGTTCATAAATATAGCATGCATATTGATGGTTGTATTCCTGCTCTAGGGTCTTCTGCAAGCCTGTAATCAGATGTGTGCTGGGTATCTGTTCCAACCAGACAAACAGTATGATACAACTTATGACACAGGGGACAAGACCATTCAGTGTGGCCGGCATGTTGATGTCTTCAAACTTTGGCTAATGTGGAAAGCTAAGGTATGAAAGGTCTACAGAAATGCAGCTTTAACCAGAAACATAAATGTTCTTTAGCCACTTCAAACTGATGCATAGGTGGAATGAAAGTTAAGGCTTAAAACCAAAATTTAAATGTATGGTTTAGTTGAGAAGAAGTGGTAACAGGAAGTTCTTAGTGGAGCACCTCATCTGTGAAACTGTAGAAATCACACTGAGTTCAAATCTTCCAAGCTTTAGATCAGCATTAAACTCCTCTTTCCTTTGCATTGGACAGGTACATAGTAGCTCCAGCAACGTACTCCCAGGACCAACATGTACGCTTTACAACATGGTTCATCAATGGCTATTAGCCAGGATGGGCAGGGATGGTGTCCCTAGCCTTTGTTTGCCAGAAGCTGGGAATAGGCGACAGGGGCTGAATCACTTGATGATTACCTGTTCTGTGCATTCCCTCTGGGGCCCCTGGCATTGGCTGCTGTTGGAAGACAGGATACTGGGCTAGATGGACCTTTGGTCTGACCCAGTATGGCCATTCTTATGTACTGGTAAATAACTGACAAACTGTGGAGAATTGGATCCTTCTCTTTATAAACTACTAATATTGATTTAATCTAAGCATGTGGTGAATAGATGCTATTGCAGGGGTTGGCAACCTCCGGCATGTGGCTCGCCAGAGTAAGCACCCTGGCGGGCTGGGCCAGTTTGTTTACCTGCTGCGTCGGCAGGTTTGGCCGATTGTGGCCCCCACTGGCCAATGTGGTCCCAGGCCAATGGGGGCTGCAGGAAGCGGCGCGGGCTGAGGGATGTGCTGGCCGTGGCTTCCCGCCTCCCCCATTGGCCTGGAGCGGCGAACTGCAGCCAGTGGGAGCCGCGATCGTCCGAACCTGCCGATGGGCAGGTAAACAAACTGTCCCGACCTGCCAGGGTGCTTACCCTGGCGAGCCACATGCCAGAGGTTGCTGACCCCTGTACTATTGTGATGAGAACTGAGGAAATACGTACATAACAATACAGGAACTAAAATGATCCTTCATCCATAATCTAAACTGTTTTTAAGGTCCAAAAAAGACTAACTTTCATTTTTATTTGCATATGTACTTCATGGTTACATTAGACAAGAGCTCTGATACTGCAAGATACTGAACAATGTCAACCCCATTGACATAACTGTAAATGCCAAAATATCACCTAAAAGATTGTTCTTGCATTGTTTCTGACTTATACATACTAAGAACTTCATTAGGGGGCAAATGCTTATGACATTGCCAGTTAAGTTTTGCAGACTTAAGAGACACAGGTATATACTGCCTGATATACAATCTCACCCGTATTTACATTGCTATAAATCCATTGAAGTCAATGGCGTTATTGTTTACTTACACCCTGTAACTGTGATCAGACTCAGGCCTGTGGTCTTCTGGGTATTTAGCTAAAGCTCCAAATCTCTTTCAGGCTCACCTATTGCTATTTAAAACCTGTTTCCCCCTCCCCCTATCTGGAACCCTATTCTGCAAGGGGCTGATGGCTCTAAGCTGCCGTTGATTTCAGTCCCTCTCGGAATTAGGCCCCTAAAGATTTGTAATAACCAATTTCATTTTTGGGGTGCTTTATTTTTGAAACCTGTCAAAGAGCGTTACAATAAAAATGATAAGACTCCTGTCCTGAGGGGCTTTGCTCCGTATGTTTCAGAAAAGGTGTGTATTTTTTACTTTATATGTAAAACTGTGAACTGTTTCCTTGAGTTAGGGAGGTTACTATAGTGTTAATCTGAAATAAGATAAATGTTGCATGAGAAAACAGATGTTGTGTGGACAGAAGAAAAAGTGCATACCTAGTCTTAAAGTTTTGCAACATCAACAACAAAGCACATAAACAATAGCTGTTATTTCAAGCAAATTAAATGATAAATAGGAGGATCACTGCCTAATGCTCAGTCTTTTTTTGTGTAGAAGAGACATGCAACCATAGTGTAATGTGATATACAATTCTGATTTTATGATTTATAACAGGGGTAGGCAACCTATGGCACGCGTGCCAAAGGCTGCATACGAGCTGATTTTCGGTGGCACTCACACTGCCTGGATCTTGGCCACCGGTCCAGAGGGCTCTGCATTTTAATTTAATTTTAAATGAAGTTTCTTAGACATTTTAAAAAGCTTATTTACTTTACATACAACAATAGTTTAGTTATATATTATAGACTTATAGAAAGAGACCTTCTAAAAACGTTAAAATGTATTACTGGCACGCGAAACCTTAAATTAGAGTGAATAAATGAAGACTCGGCACAGCACTTCTGAAAGGTTGCCAACCCCTGATTTATAATGTACAAAAACCAGTTATAATTGCAACAGTAATGGAACAAAGATTAGGACAAGAAATATAGCCAAATTCTGAAACCTTTGAAACAGTGCTATATTAACTACTGGAGTAAACCCCATTATTCCCTAAATAGGAAATATGTTCACAATTACAAGGTAAAAAAAAAGGGGAGGGGGTGGGCATAATTTATCAACTAAACTGGTTATAGAGATCTGTCAAAGTGCAGTCCCTACCATGCATGCAAAAGCTCAGACAGATTAGACTTCATTTGATGTGGTTTTAGGTTAAGCTCAATAGTTATGTAGATTCATACTTCTTCTAAAAGTGTACCTTTTTAGAATGAGGTTCTGTGTGTTATATAGAATGAGCATCAATAATTTTATGCCCCAAAACAATAAAATACAGTTCCTCAGGACAGTACCCTCCATTTTCCCCTTCAAGCTCATTCCTGTACAATAAAGTTGTTGTTTGTTTTTCCTAACATGGCTCAAGCTACTCTTGGAGCTCACTTTCTATATGTTTTGCATTGATATTCTACAGGGCACTCGAGGCTTTGAGATTCTTATCAACAAATCCCTTGAACTTGCTGAGTATCTTTACAGGGAACTGAATTCAAGAGAGAACTTTGAGCTTGTATTTGATGCCGAAGTAAGTATCAAAATATCCCTCTGTTCTCTTCTTCAGTATGTATTCTTGTTTACTTTACATGTGATTTAATTTCCATATAAAAAGCGAACGTATTTTCCTGTTGTCACTTTCTCTGTCTAATTGAAATAGGCACTTCATAGATCGGGTATATTCATATTGTACAGTAGAAATGAGTCTAGCCATAGTATCCATTTCCTGAATGAACAGAGTATTTTTAAATTCTTTGTGTTGTTCATCCAGCCTCTGGGATTACAAACAAAAGTGGCAAACCAAATTTGGGTGATGGTTTTCTTTTGCAACAACATGGACAGTTGTAAACAATTAACTGGGCAATTAAGGACTTGATTCTGCAAGATGCAGAGTAGAGCTGGTTGTAAAATTTGTGGCTGAATTGACTGAACTGGAGATTTTTTTTAGTCTGTCTCTTGAGTTTTAGCCTCTCTCTGCCCAGGGCCAGCTCCAGGCACCAGCAAAAGAAGCAGGTGCCTGGGGCGGCCAATAGAAAGGGGCGACACATCCGGGTCTTCGGCGGCAATTCGGCAGCGGGTCCCTCACTCCCTCTCTTCCTCTTCGGCGGCAATTCGGCGGCAGCTCAATCAGAGTTTTTTGGGTTTTTTCTTCGCCGCTTGGGGCGGCAAAAAAGCTGGAGCTGGCCCTGCCTCTGCCCACCCACAGTGTATGTGACCAATTAGTGTTGCTCACTCTCCAAAATGTGTTGGCTAAGGAAATTTTAGCCTCTGTTCCAAGAGTTCTCACCTCCACATCTGCCTATCCCCTGCCCAGCAATTAATCTTGTCCCCGATACGCCCCATCAGCCCCACCCCCATCAGTTCAGCTCCCCTTCCCTCCCCCCAACCTCACATCTGTCCTTCTTTTGGAGGACTGCAGCAGGGCTCTCCCCCTTTCCAGGATTGGGATGGGAGATGCAGTTCCAGGAGCTCTTCACCTCTCACCCTCCTTTCCCAGGCCATATAATGCAGGGGAAAGGAAAAGGAGCAGAGGCCCCATCCTGCTTCCTTGGGCACAGGAGGAGAGTGGGGAGGAGGAAGTGGACCTACACTGGTCTGCTGAGCTTTTTGCTCTGTCCTTTCCCCTCCTGTGAGGAAAAGCGATCAGAGGGGGAAACTCTGCTGGCTTCCAGGGGCACTTAATTTCATGAGGGAGCCGGACTTCTCATGTCATCACGATATGAGCTCTAGTCCTCTCTGAAATCTTGGCACTCACCAAAAATTGTGAGAGTGGCACTACTACACTTAATCATGGAACTATTCATTTACTTACCATTAAGCACATGCATTAGTGCTCTGTTAGATCAAGGCCATGGTGCTCAACACCTTGCAGGAGTGAGCCCTACATTATATCCCATAGACTGCTACACAATCATCACAAGAGTAACAACTTTTATGATAATTATCAGCCTGGGCCAGTTTTGAAGAAATGACCTAAAAGTAAAAAGGTAGGATTTTCAAAAGTGACTTAGAAGCATTGGAGCGATGTTCAATGGACTTATGCGTACGTCATTTAGATACTATTGGTATTAAACTCTTGTTGACCTCACACTTAATAGCAGAATCATGATTATCGTTTACTGAGAAATAATCGTCTTTGTTTTAAAGCCTGAACTCACCAATGTGTGTTTCTGGTACATTCCACCAAATCTTAGAAGAATACCAAATGGGCCAGAACGAGAGAAATTGCTTCATCAGGTAAGATTTCTAGTATTGACATTCAGAGGGTGTCGTGACTAATAAGGCCTCTACTGATAGTTCTTAGTCTTCCTACATCCCATATGTTCATACAACCTTGTTGTTTAATCAGGACTCAAATGCTAAAGTTTGTATGACATCCAAAGAAGAAAAACCGTAGTGTCATGGACATCTCCTAGTGTCAGAATTAGAGCACAGCAAGCTCTTAAGAAATTATGAACATTCATTCAGATAAAAAGAGTCCTTTGAACATGTTTGAGAAAAGTTTTCTCTGACCATTTGTAGGAGTGACTCACCACTCACAAGAATGATTACAGACCATTATTCCAAGTGTATCTGCAGCCCCCTTAAATGTTCTCCTTGGGCTTTGAAATCACTCAATCAGGAAACAGAAACAATGACATGAGACTTAAGTGACCAATCATAGAGCACTAATATTAAATTATGGAACCTAAATCAATAGTAGTAGTGAATAGTTTTCAAAGAATCCCCAGTCTGAAACGTTTACATAAACCATTCATCAGATAATTTCAAATATGCAAAAATAGAAGGCCAAGATTTTTTTTAAATGACTAATAATCTAGTGCACCTAAATATTTTGGTGCCCAACCTGAGACAATGTAAAGGGCCTCACTTTTCAGAGTGCGGGTTCTAAAGCACCGAAGTGACTTATCACTCTTGAAAATCTTGGCTCAAGTCCCTTTGTAAACAGAGAAAGGGGCTACATTAATTGAATAACTTGTTTGCTTTATCAGAGGGGTAGCTGTGTTAGTCTGTATCCGCAAAAACAACAAGGAATCCGGTGACACCTTAAAGACTAACAGATTTATTTGGGCATAAGCTTTCAAGGGTAAAAAAACCACTTCTTCAGATGCATGAAGACGTGTTCACTTTTTATAGTTTACCGAGGTCTAGTCAGTCAGCCCTCCTCTGATCTTTTTTAGTTTACAGAATTCATGGGAGTTGAGGCAATAGTGTAGGGTGTGATTGACCTATTTTATGGTGTTTAATGACAGCAAAGCTAACTTTATTGCACCTAGATACACAGGACAACTTGACCTAGGTGAACACTTAAAAGGGGAAAAAATCTACTGTGCACAATCGTTATATGATTTTAAAATGCTCATATCATATCAAAACCTCTTAATAAAAATGCACATATAGCATTGTGTATATTAGCATATATGTGTATATTACACACAACTAAAATAACACTTGGCCATGCGGCAGCAGCAGGGTGCCATGCAAAACATGATTTGGAGTCAGAATTCCCACTCCGGAGATCACATGTATTATAATAAGAAGGGTGCATGTTAGCATCCAGGGTTAGTGTGCAGGGCTCAGCTGTCCTAGATACTCAGGATTTCCAGGAAGTGCCACTGATAGTGGCCTTGTTTTGCCTTCCCAATATTATGGTAGGAGTTCTACAATGATGGTAAATAGAAGAAAATTGGAACTCAAATCAGACAGCCAACTATAATGAAGATGCAGAAAAAAAAAACCCACCGTGATTCTCATCGCAACATATTTAAAAAGTGATTAAAGTTGATAAGGAAAAAAGGAGTAGGACACAACTTAGTAAACTCTACTTAAGGTATAAAAAGTGATGTAGAAGAGCTCACGTGCACAACTCACTATTTATTGCAAATTGAAACTTTGCCGAATGGGCCTGATTTTTCAAAGTAATCTAACCTCTGATTTTGGGTTCCCACCATTTGGGTGCTGAGAATCTCTGATAAGATCCACAAATCAAGCAAGTAACAAGTCAACACTATGCTACATGTTTGTGTGCAAATTAAAATTTTTGTTCATCCATTATCTTTGACATATTACCAGCCAAAATCTACAAGCCCCAAAATAGAAGCACCTAAAATTTTAAGTGCACAAAATTAGGGATAACAAATGAAATAGCATGACTGCAACTTTATAAGAATGTTATCATTGAAATCAATGAGAGTTTTGCCTGTGTAGGGAGTGAGTAAAAGCTGAGGAAGGACTTCAGGATTTGTCCTACTGTGTGTAATGTTAACATCGTATCTTATGTCAAAATTGAAAACAGAAGGACAAATCCTGAAATTCTGTCTTCTTACTCAAGCAGAACTCTCACTGATGTCAATGGCAATAGTCTTATGACGTTTTAATCATGCTAGCTTTTTTGTTATACTGTGACTTGCAAAGTCTGGCTGTTATGAGAGGGGGGTAACGTTTCCAAATATAAAAGGAAAATAATTGTGATGGCTGACTTTTTGTATACAGGTTGCTCCAAAAATAAAAACACGGATGATAGAAGAAGGAACGACGATGGTTAGCTACCAGCCACATGGGGACAAAGTGAATTTTTTCAGAATGGTCTTTTCCAACCCAGCTACTAGGAAATCAGACGTTGACTTCCTCCTTGAAGAAATTGAAAGGCTTGGCAAGGATTTGTGATGACTGATGCTGCACTTTGAAATGGGCTCAGTTTTGTTCTGGTATAGTGGGCACCATTAAAAAATGTTACATTTGCTACTCCATGTTAGTTTAATTTATGATGGCACCTCCTGTTCTAAGGATAGGAAGATACTGCAGTTACTGGAGGTACCTAGAGTAATGAAATCTCAACTTTTTTTAATGGAACTCCCTTTAGACATGTGATCTCATCATTTCACAGGGCTTGAGAGTCATTGTATACATCAGGGGTCGGCAACGTTTGGCACGCAGCTCACCAGGTTAAGCACCCTGGCAGGCCGGGCCAGTTTATTTACCTGCTGACGCGGCAGATTCAGCCAATCGCGGCCCCCACACACCGCGGTTCACCGCCCGGGCCAGTGGGGGCGGCGGGAAGCGGCGTGGGCGAGCGATGTGCTGGCCGCGGCTTCTCGCAGCCCCCATTGGCCCGGGACGGCGAACTGCGGCCAGTGGGGGCCGCGATCAGCCGAACCTGCCGTGTCAGCAGATAAATAAACAGCAGGTGATTACCCTGGCGAGCCGCGTGCCAAACGTTGCCGAGCCCTGGTATACATCCTTCTTAACTGTATCTTTTTCCTCCCTGCCCCCCAGTTGGTTTTCTAGCAGAGTGGTGTTGGGGCTTCATATGCCTTCTGGGCTGCAGCACAATGGACTGAGATTAAGGTTTACCTTTGTTTTCGTAGGCTCCTTTGATGGGTGTTAGGCCCTATAAATATAGCACTCTTTTTGTCATTAGTTAAAGAGAGCAGAATACAGAGGCAGGAGCTCCAGAAGGGCCTTTGGCTCAAAGCTTTCTTCATCACAGTGTGTGTGAAACTTTGTAGCTACTCATGGCAGGCAAATTATCCTAGAATACAGCTTTTTTTTGTTTTCTGTCAAGCCACATTAGTACTTAGTAGGAAGTGTTGTTTGGATGCTTGCACCTTTTATTGGTTTTTATCACTTGCTTTGGTTTTGATGACTTCAGTAAACACATCTGTGCAGGCTTCCCTTCACTCTCCCCTTTTTACATTTCATTTTCCATCTCAAGTTTAGTGCAACAGTGTAACTCATCCTATGTGTCCATGCAGTGGAGTAAAAGAACATGAAGGGCATTACTCTCCGGTACTGGTTACTGTTATAGTGTAGACTCTTCTGCGGAGCCCCTACTCTCCCTCTGGTGCAAATGGGTAGAGCCTTGGCCTGGACTCCCCCTTCCAACCCCTTGTTCCCCACTGTGCCAGCACAGCTGAGCTGATGTAAAGAGGGAAGTATAGGACTGGCACAGATTACTCCCTGCTCACTGTCTAGAACAAGTGGCAACTAGGGACCAGATAACTACACACTGCTAATAACGCAGGGCTTGTGGCAAAGTCACAGTCTAGCCCTTAGTGATTATGATCTATTCAGCCATACTTCCTTCTGACTCTGCCACAAGTGAATATAAAGGAATGCTACAGATTTATTTATTTCTTCCACTGTGTGTATTCCTGAGAACCTTTGGGTGCATGGATCAACATGTGGATCACTTAGAAATAACTGAACAAGGCTCTGGAGAATATACTGTAGAGAACTATCCTGCACTGGGTAGAATAAATGGCCTAACAGGTTTTTTTTATTCCTATCTACTTTTTATTCTCATTTTACATTACAGATAACACTAAAGTTAACACAGTGCACGTTGTATTGGTAATAAGGTCAGTTATTTAGACAACTTTTCTAAAGGTTTTGTTATGAAGGATATATTTTTTAAATTTTCTATTTTAAGGTCTGTGGCATTTGTTTCATATTTATTTACCTTTGTGCTGTATTGTTTTGGTTTTTTTAGCCCTAGGGCAGGGGTCGGCAACCTTTCAGAAGTGGTGTGCCGAGTCTTCATTTATTCACTCTAATGTAAGGTTTCGCGTGCCAGTCATACATTGTAAGATTTTTAGAAGGTCTCTTTCTATAAGTCTATAATATATAACTACACTCTTGTTGTATGTAAAGTAAATAAGGTTTTTAAAATGTTTAAGAAGCTTCATTTAAAATTAAATTAAAATGCAGAACCCCCAGACCGGTGGCCAGGACGCGGGCAGTGTGAGTGCCACTGAAAATCAGCTCACGTGCTGCCTTCGGCACATGTACCATAGGTTGCCTACCCCTGCCCTATGGTATTAGGCATTTCAAGTATGCACATGAATAGGGAATCCACTAAACAATGAAACATGATCTGAAATCAGATTTGTAGCTGAAATGTGTATATAACTTTGAGAATTGCTCCCTTTGGTAAGTAGAGAAAAAGGTGGGTTAAAACACTGGACTGTGCATGTGTGCAAGAAAGGGAGATCTACTGTACACTGTACATTGCAATGAAGCTACAGCAAAACTGCAACTGTCTAGACTAACACTGAATAAAGCCCTAATTCACTGCACTTATGTTCAGCCTACTGTGTGAAAGTGTCCTTCATTTTAGTAGAGTCCACAATAGGAACCATATACAGTGCTTCTGTACTTTTAATCATGATATAAGTCTCTTTCTTTTGCTTTTTCAGTTACTAGAATCACAGTTTGCTACTTACTTCTTCAGTACTCTTGGGAACCCCTCTTTCCTGCAGTGTGCCAGACACCTCCCTTCCTTACTTACTTCCAACTCCTGTCTCAGAACTCAGGATATCCGCAAAGCCGACAATTGCTGACCTGTGCCATTAAAAATATAGACGTCCTTCCAAAACAAAGAAGATTTCTGATTTCATGCTGGTGTAACCCCCACTGAAATAAGTCAGCCCCCCTGTGTTTATATGGCTTCTTAATAAGCTCCTCAGGGCTTAACAAATGCTTATATCCTGTCACATGGCAGGTACATCCCACATCTACCTGTGTGGCATAGGAACTGGCAGCTACTTGACTCCCTTTGCTGGTGCCAGCAGTGCTGAGCCATATGGGCCTTAGTAAAGGACTGAGGAGGTGAGCCGGGGCAATGACAACAAGCTTCTGCCTTTGCTGGAAAGACAGGTGTCTGGTAGGTAGGCAGATCGCTGGTGGCAGTGAAAAGGAGTCTGCCCCTGCAGTTGGCACTGAGTTCCGGAAGCTGAGCAGCAGGGACTCTGTAAAGAAGAACTTGTAAAAGAGCATGGCAGGAGGACATACTTAGCGTTGGGGAGGGATGTTGATTTGATTTTTGTTGGGGGAGGCAGTGTTTAATTTATTATGGGGATTTGATTGGCTTATTTTGGGGGGTTAATTGGGAGGAGTCATTAGTGCTTGGTTGTGGGGAATTTTGGAGAGATCGTTTTATTGAGTGGGACACTAACAGGCACAGGCAGTAAAACCCTTGTCCTATTCAGACTGAGGACACTGTCTGTAGCAAAGATGTGTGTGAAAGGCAGGTCGAGTCCTATGCCCCAGTGACAGCTGTTGTCACTTCTTAAAACCCTCTGCAAAGCCCCCAAGGCCTCACTACTGCAGTCTCACCTCAGGAAAGCTGTGGCAGCACTGCTGGATCGTCTTGGGTATCCCCCAGCAACACTAACGCAAACAAAGGGGGGCAGCAGCTGCCAATTCCCATGACATACAGGTAGATGGACAAGGTTATATGAGGTGTCAGAGAGAACTCTATGGTCATCTTTTTTTAAAAAAATATGTAGAAATAGAGGATGAGGTTTTTTTAGTGCTATGCCTCATCGTGTTTTAAATATCAGAGGGATAGAGCTTTCACTATTTCCCATGAAAGGCTGTTTCAAAGACTAATAGACCATCCTTTTAGAAGAAGTATATTTTATAACCTAAACTAGGTGTGTATAAGTGCAGTAAATGTGTTTGTTAAATCTTTTGACCGCTGATAATGAATAATAGACATTTGACCTGGAATTATCTACTCCGGTCCCCAGGGGTTGTATATCATTGTGTCCTACAAGCATATTTGCCAGTCTGTTTTGAATTTAGCGAATTGATGCATTTATACTTCTTCCCTTGGGACACTCTGCTAGCATCTAATAGGTCTCATTTATAGGATATTTCTCCTGATCTTGTTGTGTGACTGCTACAGCACCAAGATAACTGTAAACCCAATATCCTTAACACTGCCAGGCACTTTTTTTTACTAACCTAGTTATTTGTGTTTGAACAACAAGAGAACAAATTAAATTTAGTGAAATTAGCCAGAACAACAAACATGTTTTAAGGTTAATTACATTTAGTTTCCCAATAGAAAATGCCAGCTGGATAAAGGGAACAGATCACCTACAGCCTGGAGAAAACTGATCAAATCTTTAAAATGTTGAAATTTACAAACAGCACACGTTCCCTAAACTAGTTTCCCAGGAATGTTTGGAGGGTTTTTCTACACTACCCTGGCCCTGGGCCCTAGCTCAATTCCTTACTCAGACAAAACTCCCATCAAAAGCCTATTACCTTACAAAGGTGGGCAGGAACTTTACAAGTTTTCTTTGTCCCCAGAAAAAGCACTACCTAGTGAATATGGGTGATTGAATATAGAAAAGAAAATGAAAATACTGTGTTGTAACCTGAGTTAGAAGGGAGCAAGGAAGAGTGATAAAGAATTACAAAACAACAGAGAAGAGGCTGCTGAATTCTTTAGCTGCTGATTTCCAAATGTTCCGAATTTGGTTTTTATTTTTTGGGTGGTTATTGGGTTGGGTTTTTTTTGGAAAATGTAGATATTTTGTAAAGAAATGTAATATTTTGGGGGAAGGAGGGATATTAGATGCATTTCTTTACAGCATACTTTCAGCCTTAGCTCTTTGTTAAAAATGTTGTTGTTTAAAGAACTTCCCTGTCTTTTGAATGAGCACCAACATTTAAAATCAAGATGGTGTATAAGGTCAACAGTAGGGCAGCCCTGCCCTTACGAATCTTATGAGGCCCACCAACGTAGAACTCCCATCCTGAAGCTTTTAGTAAGTTCATAGCAGGTGTTAGATATGGGGCTTGGTGAATATTGAGAAGGAAAGCAGGGGAGACTTTTATCCACATGGCAAACTTTAAGTGCTTACAGTTTAATATCTTCCAGTACTCCATGCCAAAGACCCCACAGCCTTGCCACACTCACCCACATCAGAGTGGGCTTCACCAATCCACACACAGCAGCTTTTTTGTGGGGGGGAGGTAATGGGTGGTTAGCTACTCACATTCCGAGTTTGCTCAGGATGAGTTGTTTGTAGTTATTTATTATTTGTATTACAGTAACACCCAGAAGATCCAACAGAGACTGGAGCTCCAGCACACTGTACAAACACACAATGAATGATTGTCACTGGCCCAATGACTTTACAGTCTATATAAACAAAACAGTAAAGGATGA